AGCCAGTATTGCCCATGACCTTTGGTGTAATCTGTTCTAGGGCTAGATACTTAACAGTATAACCGCTTTCTTTTTTTTAAGGGTGAGATCTAATGGCAGTTATTGAAATGCCTTTAACATTATCCCGTGACAACTTTAATCTGAGTTGAATTTTACTGGACAAATGGTGTTGCACAAAAACTAACATTGCATAGTGGGTTTTAATATACCTGGGTATCTTTCAACTTTCTGTACAACCCACTATTCAATTCCCAGTGTTCACCTAGTTTGAGAAGGTAGATTTTTTTTGGCAACTGGAGAAATTAGTACATTAAAAATACTCTTGGTTTTCTGTACAGTAGGTAGTTGGAGGTATACTGCCTCCCACACTTACTTGGGCCTAGAATGTGGTCTAGAGCCAGGACTTACAGGGGGATTTCTGTATTATTTTGATAAAAGTACAAGATGTTGAAGTGAGGGCATAAGTGCAGGAAAGATACTCTTAAGCTAGATTCACATCTTTTATGGATGGTGTGTGTGAGAAGCTAGTTTTAGCACTGATACTCTCTTAACTACTTTTTTAAAAAAGCTCAAAGCTCCATTTCTGTTAAATTAGACTCAAGTGCTGCAATTCAATCACAGTACTCCATAGTAGAGGTGGTAAGAGTTGGAAATGGAAGACAACCTATGTGCCTAGCTTACCATATTCTAGTTAATTCTTTAAAATAACCAGCCAAAAACAACCCTGGAATCTTTATTGCACAACCCCCTATCATTCTTAAAGAAAACTACTCCAAAACTTTATGCACAAGCTGCATATTGGCTAAATTAGCAAATTTGTCAATACTTCTAAATAACAGGAACTATAAAAACAGCTGCTGATGTTTGGTACAATTCAAAATAAAATATGCAGTTTACAGAGATCTTTAGTAACAAACATTACTGCTTATTTCAGAAGGGAGCAAAACTGCCTTTATTTTTTTTTTTTTTTAGAACTTTCTAAAGTTATTGAGTTCTTGTTCAGTTGGCAAGTTAATGTAGGGGAATGTAGCATATGCATTACTTCCATTCTGAACAAGGACTGAGAATTTAATAAAGGTTTGTAAGTGGTCTGGGGTCAGTCTTATGTCTTTTTTTATTAACTATTCACTATCCCCTTTATACTGACTTAAAGCATAGAATTTCTTTTTTTTAATAAATGCCCTGTGGGGGGTTAGAATGGCCAGACTGCATGCTTTTGAGCAGCTGTATAAAGGAATTTCATGCACCCCCTAGATTTAGCCAGGTGTGCACAACCCTCACCTGTAACACTCACACTTACTCAAGCACTCACTGCACAGCTCACCTTGAACTGGACTCTTTAGTGATGTAACAAGATTGAGCACAGTAATGATATACTTGAGTACCACCTTGTGAATGACAATGAGTATGCTTACATACACAAGGAACAAGAAGCCACCCCATAACAGTAATAAGCTTCAATGCTATCCTTATGTAGCCAACCCCCTTCTAAAATCACTTCCCTACATTATCTAAAGCCTTTTGTTGAAACAGTGGTGTTGCCTCAAGCCTATCTTGCATCCTACTGTTGTTCACAAGTAGTAGAGAGTGAAGGCAGCTACTTAAAATATATAACAAATGAAAGAAAGGGGAAGTTGACAGTAATGAATATAAATCAGAGTAGGAAATTGTAGAAAATTGATAAGGAAACCAATGGGCCACAGCAAGAAACTTAGGGCCAATATCCTTAAATATATCAAGAATAAAAAATCTTATTGGTACTGGTCCATTACTAGAAGGAAGTGGTAGAAGTATTCAGTAAATATTTTTGTATTTATGAAAAAAACAGAAGTACACAATAGGATACTAATGGAGTGGAAAGTTTCTCAGGAGGATATTAAACAGCACCTGCTAAAGTCAGACACTTCAAAATCAGTTGGTCCAGATAACTTGCATCCAAGAGCTGATTGAGAAGCTTGCTGAACCACTAATCCTGACTTTTTCAATAAGTCTTCAGTCAGGGGGGATGTTCCAGAAGTCTAGAACAAAACTAAGGTTGTTCCCATTACTTAAAGAGAAAACAGGATGACCCAGGTAATTAGTCCTGTTAGTCTATCATCAATCCCAGGGACAATAATGGAGCAACTGATATAGGGCTTAATAATTGAATGTAACATAAAAATGCCAATCAACATGGGTTTACAGAAAATAGATAGGATCTGTCTCTTTTAGAGGAATTAAAGGTAACTGATCTAATATATTAAGACTTCTCTAAGGCATTTGACTTGGTACCATGAGATATTTTGATTAAACTATCATGATATAACATTAACATGGCACACATTAAAACAGGCAGGTCTCCATGTAACTGTCAATAGGGAATCCTCACTGAACAGCTCTGGTTCTAGTGAGGTTCTACAGGGATCTGTTTTTGGCCCTATGCTATTTGATAAAAATGTTAATCACCTTAAACAAAAAAAATCTGCAAATGACAAGTTGGAAGTGGTAAATAATGAAAGTACAGATCACAGAGCAATCTCAATTACTTAGTAAGATGGGTACACTTACATGTTTTAATATGGCTAAATCTACATATATATCTCCAAAGAATGTATGCTATACTTACAGCCTGGGAAACAGTGACTCTGAAAAAGATTTGGGGGGATAATCAGCTGAACATGAGATTCCGGTCTGACACCCCCACAGCACAACAGAGGAATCTCAAGAGTAGAAAAGTTATTTTATCTCTAGTTAGCATTAGGGCAACTGCTGTTGGAATATTGTGTCCAGGTCTGGTATCCACCATTCAAGAAGAATTTGGAAAATTGAAGATGGTTCAGAGAAGAGCCACAAAAATGATTGAACTATTAGAAAACATGCCTTTATGGTGAAACTCAGCAGTAGTTTAAAGAGAAGGTTAAAGGATGACTGCCTGGGTTACAGTAGTTGCAGTTGAACAGAAAAATCCTTTATCAATTCCAGGCTTAATCCCCATGGAACTGGAGGCTGATAAGCCTCTTTTAGACTCACTCAGTATGGTCTGCCTGACAGCTGGAAAGATGTGAATTAGAAAATTGATAAACCTATATTTTAAGACAAAGTATCTGTCCTCTAGAAGCTGTAAGTTCCCACAATGTGGACAAGGAGCTGCCCGTGAATGAAAAATCTAGCTCTACCTCTCCTATAAATTAAGAGTAGAAAGTGAAACTTAAGCAAGAACTATAAACACGCTAGCTGTAGTAGCATGTACCCTGGGGGGCCAAAAAATAGAGAGCCCAACAGACTGTAGTAAAACAACTACTAATGCACCATTTTATCAGCTACACAAAACGATTTTCCCCATAACTCAGGCAAGTCCAAAGTTTTCTAGAGAGGCAGGTCCCAATTGGTGCCCCATTCTACAACTCCCCTCTTCCCCCAAGGTGACTGCTTCTTCTTCTGCCACCTGCCAGTGTCAGTCACTTGCCTCCGTTTCATTTTTATATTTTTCCTGTCTGTAGTGCCTGTGTAGTAGTAGCTAAAACAGAGAGGAGCATAGTAACTTCTTTTTCAAATTGATTATCCCCTACATATAAATACCTAGATCTCAGAGTGCTTATCAGTGGATCTTAAAGCATTTTACAAAAGAAATACTATTATGCTGACTTTACAGATGGTGAAACTGAGTGAGCTTGCCTGATGTCAATTTTTTATGCAGGGCATCTTAACAGTTGTTTGAAAACAAAACACTTCTCTAAAGCTCATCATTAATCCAGCAACTAATGTAGCAGTTACAAAATCCATGCTGCTTGGCTACCTCCATCGTTTGGTCACTTGTTGCATTACACCAAGTTGTACTGTTTACTTACCTGAAGGTTCTTAGGGCTGAGATTATGCCTTGTACATGCTGTAATGGTCAAGCACACTGTTGGTTTTCAAAATGTTCATATCACAGGAAAGATATTCCATTAAAGCTGAATTTTGAAGTAGCAGAATTAATCATTCTTCAGAATCAAATCATTTCAAATACAAGCAATTAAGAATGGCAGTAGGGGGTTCCACATCAAGATTATTCACTTTATAGGTAAAGATGTTTTTTCTAACTACCAACACTGCAAACATAACAGGAGAGAGTGTCATGCTGGGTTGAGAATGCAAGCCTAGATGGACCACATCTCACAAGTCCAACAGTGAAGGTGCTTCAATCTGTTGACATTTTCCAGGTCTTACCCATCCTACCATTTTCATTTTTGACTGCCAGTGCACACGGTTTCATTGAACTGCCCACAGGAGTACATCCATGTACAGGTAGTTGTGTACTTATCCTTCCAACATTCATTACCTTTCACTTGTCAAAGAATTTCATCTAGTGAGACGTTGGGTCCTTCCAAAATTGCTCATGAGCTTTCGTCTTGTCTCATCTAAATAAGTGTTACCTGGAATTTATGCCATTTTACTGTTTACTATTTTCTCAGGTGATATCTGTATTAAACACCACAAAGCTCTAAGGTTCTGGACCAGAACTTGTCAGACTTTTTGGAAATAAAATCATCAACTCTCTCTCCTTTATCAGCATGCTTAAAGAATTCTGATATCTGAGAGATAAAGTCATGTATATATCATAACTAGTGAAAGATGCTTCAGGCCAGAGTAGGTCACTTTACACTTGCAACCCTAGAGTGTTCCGTGTTCACTGTGCCATTTTCTGCTTAATGGTTTTGCTTAAGCATAACTGAAACCTCACGACTGATCATACACAAAAAGAAATAAAATCCAGCTCACCTCAGTCTTAGATGGTGGCTTTGCAGGGCTAAGAGCAAAACACAGTAAACAACCTGGTTTTGTTCCTAAAGGCAGAAAGTCATGACTGAGTACACACAGGGAACAGAGCTATTAAGTAAGAAAGTGGTATGCAGTTTTGTTTTGTTTTTAATAAAGTTACTCTTCAGATGAGAACTGCACTGTAAATACTTTTGACTCTGCATCAAACAGAACAATTTTTATCAATTCAAATTTGAATAGAAACCCTCTTAGGCTTTATCTGTTTTTGTACAATTGTTTATACAAATTCAACAAAGGTAAAACTGCATCAGGAAATTCTACGAAAACAACACCTTACAACAATGGCACTTATCAATGCAGAATTTTACAATCAGGAAATAACCATGTTATAAACCTTAAATGAGAACTCAACTCACACTTCAAAGAAAGGGGAAAAAAAGACTATGCTTGACCATTTATTCTACTGTTTGACTCACTGTATAAATTAATTTCATATTGAGTACAAGAGCTCATGCTACAGAGTGAAACCCTCCTATGTGCAAAAGCTGAAATTGGAATTTTTAAAATTTTGAGAAAAAGGTGATTTCTATACAGATAAAACTTGGCATAGTGTCTTACTTCAACTATCATTTACACCTTATTTCCACAACATGCTTATGTCACTTCTGAAGTATACAAAGCAGGATATAAACTTCCATTAAAACATGCTTTAAATTGAAAGTATTAACCTACTTTTCCTGACCTGGGCACGTTTGCAGATGGATATTGTGTCTACGAAGTATAGGTTAAGTTCTCGCCTACTGTAAAGATAAAAATTGGCAATCCAAAACCAAAACACTGGTAATGCATTCAAAACATTGCATAAATAACTTTTAAACAATTTTGTACAAAAATATTTCTGCATAATGTAAGATGTAACAAAACAAAACGTGTTAAGAAGGCAGAAATGCAGTGTGTGGTCCACTTTAATGACACCAACTTTTTTTTGTTTTAAGAAATGAAGAGCAGAAATTAAATTTACACTACCCAAGCACATGCGGTGGTACTTTAAACAACAGATCAGTCTTCTTCCAGGTGTGAACATTTATCATCAATAACAGTCGCCTTATGAATTTGCATAAGAGTCAGTGCAGGACATCCCAGGTAGACTGAATTAAGTAGCACAGGTTGAAATTCTTAATATGGGTAGTTTTAATGATGTTCTCTCCTTGACAGGACTGTAAAATCCAATCTTTGATATTTTCTGGTTTCCCAATTGAAAATAAAATCCCTACATGTTCTTAGTCCCTTCCCCACCCCTTGCCCCAATATTTACACACTTGTCCTTTAACTAACTCAGTTTTTGAAGAAGTTTCTCTTCCATCTGACCAAACTGAACACTCACGGACATCTCTGCTATGAACTGCTCACAGCCTTCCTTTGTCACTTGCTTGCAGTACCTCAAGTCAATCTGACAGATGTTTCCACAACGTTTAAAGTAGGACAGGCACTGGTCAGTAACCTTATTGCAATCTGTTAGGAAAACAAAAAAGGGGAGAGAAATTAATCAGTTTGTCTTAATTTGTCAATATCAGGACAATTTATACAGACTGTGACATGCCCCCATTTGCTCTTGTATTGTTGCACTGGTCAATAAAATCAATGGGTTAAAGCCACCAGCTTGATGACAATTCTCTGATCTTTGCAGTCAGTTGTGTAACATATTGGATAAAAATGCAAAACAAGCCAGTTTCATGAGTGGTGGCAGAGGGGGCTTAGTGTCACATGGGGAGGATGGATAAAGTAAAGTGTGGGGGGTTCTAGCCCGAAGACAAGGGAGAGAGCTTTCTTTTATGCTGGAGAATTCAAAGTGGACAACAGGAGAACTGCTGGTTGTGTTTTTCCCCAGGAAGGATCACATGAGCTGGCGGGGGGGAGAGGGGGGGGAGAAGGGTCTATGGCTAATAGAGTGTATGAAGCTCTTTCAGGGGGAAGGAGGGAGATAGTTGAGTAAACTCTCTCTCTCCCCTGCAATTTGTACTCTTATATTTCATACAAATCCAGCATTTCTCATGCCACTAGAAGCTCTGGTACAATTAGGCAAAGCCTCATTCAGACCTCCCACCACCTACCTGATAAATTAATTTCAGTTAAGGAATCACGCGTGGTGGTTCCTACTGCAGTCAGCAGGTTAATAGACTGATCTGACACATGGTTACAGTAACTAAGATTGAGTTTGGAAAGCAGAGGCATGTGCCTAATGATCAATCGTAAAGAAGCATCTGTAATATCCAGACCAGCCAAACGCAGCTCAACTATGTTCCGTAGTTTACTTCGGTTGTCAATTTGACCTGTAAGACAAAAGGTTTTGTTTGTTTGTTTGTTTTTTTAAACTACACTCCAGTTTTGCAATCAGCAGCAGATTAAAAACCAACCCCATACAAAATGCACTGTAACTTATGGTGCCAATGCCCCCAGTTTATTTAAATGGACAGTTAAACATACACAGAAGTGATTTAAGTTACCTACTGTTTCAAGGAGCCCTCAAGGTGACCATCAGTGAGAGTACATTTTCCTCCTCTGTTTTTTCACTTTTAGCTTGTACATTTGACAGCACTTTACCTAAAGTCCTTTTCACTGTTTCCCCTGGCAGTCAATCACTTTCCCCTTTTTGCATGGGTTCCACACAGCAATGGGAACAAAAGAACAGAAACTGAGGTCTGACAAACCCAAGCCCAACTCAACAGAGAGTCAAAATGGAAGACTGGGACTTATTTCAGCTCCAGTAGTGCAGTCTGTGAGATGTGAAATGCATTTTGGCTCAATATTTTTGATGACAGCTTTGTTAATGATTTTGATAGAGCTATTTTTAACCATCAGCATGCAAGAGTCCAGAATAATTTCCTGTTTGCACAGGCATATGGACAAATCCAAACCCTGATGGGGGAAAAGTGTGGTCCCAGTAACATAATTAAGGGTCCAAAGACTTGAATGGAATTATTCATAGGAACAAGCACTATGTATTTGCAGGTTCAGATCCAGCATGTTTGGTAGATCACACAATATTGCTCTGAGCTGATATGAGGCCTTGATAAGGCCAAAAAAGCTACTGCTCCTCTGAATTGAAAGACAAGATTTCCACACTTTTCAAGTATACATGTTTGCAGCCTGAATGGAGGAAAGTCATTTGCTGGGAAAGCTGGCACAGCAGATGAAGTGAGTGGCCAGAGGCCATAGCCTGTTGCCTAGGAATTTACCACAGGATGTCCAGAAGGACTGTAGCAGTACTGGCCCACACATCTCATATATATCAGCATTCTACAGAATAGGGCCCAGATGGTCAGCTAATGTAAATTGTAGTAGCACCACTGACTTCAAGGAGCTTTGCTGATTTATTATAGCTGAGGATCTGGCCCCAAGAAGTGCAGTGTCCCACAAACCAGCTACTACCTATTGGCACATGAAAGATACTTGCCAAGCTACATTAATTAATAAATCAATCAGCTACCTGGCCTGTTATCTGTTGGTGGTGACAAGAGGTCTCTCATTTGTGCATCTTTTAATCCTTCCACCCACTGAACATCCAGGGTTCGGAGTAAAGGACAACTGGAACTACAAAGTGCTGAGACGGCTATCCATGAACATCCTGATAACAGCAGGTCTCGTAGACCTGGAGATATAAACAAAGGAAATGCCATAGTTGATCCTAGTGTAGAGTCCAATTTAGGTTAATTTTAAGGATAAATGTAGCACTGATGACAGATCCTAACACTCCCAAGAGTCTGCAATCTTCTGACCACAGAACAGAGCTAACACAGGCAGCGACAGGGCAAGAGTTCCCACAATGCCCTGTCACTGTACTGCACCCCTGATCTGGAATATCCACCACTATGTGTGACTATCTCCCTGAAGACAGAGTTCTCCATCACCCATTTGATCCTAAACTTCTCTTAAGAGGCTGGTTAACAAGGGTGCTTATAATAATGATTTGGACATTTTTCCATTAGGACCTATCCCACTCATTTCATATAGGACTCAGCAATCATCACATAATTTCCAGTCATACTGTTGCTATAAGATTCTGTGTCCTAATACTTCTCTCTGAGGCCACTTAGATCCCTTTTGTATCATTTTAAATTTTGTTTCATTACACATTTCACAGAGATGTCTCCCTAGAGACCTCCTTTATATCTAAATTGGGATCAATACACCAGTCATAATGTCACTTACCTGGGAGTCTGTTGATGAGCCAGCTCAGCTGTTTTTTAGATATGTTTGTCCAGCTAAGATCAAGGGTTACAGGTTGTCTCCTGATAATGCCACTGAGCATAAGTGGAGTGATGGATTTACAATGGTTTAGATCTATTTTGGTCCACAATCTTTTATCACAGCACCTACAATAACAAGACAATTGTTAATTTGGGATTTGCTTTGAATTTTGTAATGCCTTAAGAGTGAAAAATAGCTGAGAAACCAATGTAATGGCAGCAGCGGAGAGATCTGTTTGAAGAGGCTAGGGAGAGTCATGCATGCATTCAAGCAGAGACTATTACACAAGTTGAAAGCTGCTTCAAGTGTTTTCATCAAAGCCAAAATGTAAGGATTTCTTCCCAATAGATGAAACCTTGTTATGGGAGGGATTTTCAAAGGTACAGTCCCATTGACTTTCAGTGGGGCCTGTGCTCTTAAGTCACTGATGAGCTTTTGAAAATCCCATCATATAGCCTCAACGAACCAGAATAATTTCTTATTTTTCTTAGCCTTTGGATTTGAAGGTCAGTTTTGACCAACGAGGTGCTTACTGACTGTTCTGATTTCTCCAGTTTTCCTTTTAGTTAAACTGGTGAGTCTCATAAGATTGAAATCTCCATCTCTTCCTCTGCATCTCTATTTCAATCCTACACACACAGCTTCTGTGTCTCTGTCCCTTCCATGTTGCTACAGTTTGCTATGGGCAACAGAGCCATGCAAAAATCCTAACGAACTTGCAAGATTTACCTAGCATTCGGAAACATTGTACTTAGCTGGAGAAAATCTGTTTACAAGCATCTTGTAAAATCACCAAGGAATCCACAGCGGAAGCAATTCCATGGACCTTATTCTCCACAGAGTTATCAGCTTGTCAATTATCCTATTCATTACTGGGGAGTGCCATGAAAGAGTCTGTTATCTGCCTGTCTGGGTAAATATTAGAGTTTTGATACATCTGAGCAGCCAGCCAAGAGGATGCTTTATTGGAAGTTCAGCCAAGTGTATAAACATGGCTTTGAGATTCATAATATACATTACAGCTTATTGTTGGGTTATGGTCATTGACCTATTGAGTCAATTTATATAAGAGCCCCAGAGAGAGACACAATAAATGGCAATATAATAATTAGCGTGGAAAATATACTCCAAGATTCTCTACCAATGAAACTGCTGTTAAAAAGCAGAGAGTTGGGAATACAATAAACAAGTTCTTTCCACCATGTGCCCTATATATGCAAAAATAATCTTAGAACAGCTTGAAGCACCTCTGAAATCAGTGAACAGGGGGCAATGGGATATCTTGTCTGAATCTCAGGAGACGTTTAATAACTGGATAGAGGAAAGACTCAAGTTAATGGCAGGCAGGCATCTAATGATGTCCAGATTCAGGAATTTCTACTTCCTATACTAGTACACTGCTCTATCTGCTGTTGTCTAACTAGAGGATTTTGGAATACAATTGGCATGAGAGAGACATATAACCACATAACATACCAGCCTTGTAGGTGATCTAGAGTTCTCAAAAAAGCAGGCCAGCTCCTGCACATACATACCTCACCTAGAAATATTTAAACTATTTTTGATTGAACTGCATTGAGAGAGAGATATCTGCGGTGGTTTTGTTAAAGGCCAGCATTTGTGGTCATACCCACACTCCATGGGAACTGAGGAGAGCATCGTCTTCCCCTAAGACTTCACACATGCTTAAATCCCCTTCAGGAAGAAGAGAAATTAGTAAATGCTGATTATTCTATACCTCCAGGAATCACATCATGAAGTAAGATACAACCAGTATCATCCCCCTCAGCTCCTTACCATCTGTTCCAGGTCTTACAAACTCTCATACAGATGCACAAGTCGCTATGACTGAGGTAGCTAAAGACAGCCATCCAGACTTCCCTTTGCATCACATGGGCTGCCCCGTCATCTAGGGGGAGTGAGTCCGGAGGAGGGCTGATGGGGGGTGGCCTGATTACATGGCGTTCCATCTGAATGCATTTGGGAGGAGAGAGCGAAGGTGGTGGCCGGGTAATCACCCTAGGTGTGCTTCGCAGGCTTGGCACAAGTTGGTGCCTCAGCTCCCTAGGAGTCCCATTTAACCCTTTGCTGAACCTGTGGAGTCTCTCGCTATTGCTCAGAGCACGTTTGGGCTCCTCATTCTCGCTCTCTGGCTCAGATTTGATGGGTTGGTGGTTCTCATTGGCAAGGCTGTTCTCGGTTTTTTGGATCTCCTGATTGAGCTCCTTGCTGAGCTCTTTGCTCAGTTCCTTATTTGGAAGCCGCCTTTTCCGCCTCATCTTTATCTTCTTCTTGTCCCTGGGCTCAGCACTTTCGGTGCTGGGGCCCGCAGTGGGAGAGCTTGACCGTGACTGGTCACTCTCCTTGGACTTTGGAGGTGCTTCTGGCAGATCCTCCTCGGGTTCCTGTTTAAAACGCCGCAGGGGTTTGGCCATGGCAGGTCGGTCATCTGTAGCCTTCCATGATCGCCTCTGAAAAGGAAGACTTTGAGGCTTAGTAGAGCTGATAGTTAATGAGTTAGTGCCACAGGGCCTGCAAACAGCACCTTGTGCAAGAGGACATGCTTCCCAGCAGCCTGCATAGAGGGCAACAGAATAAAGGACCACATCCAAACTTTCTCCTGACTACAGTGCAACGTTAATAACTGGTGGCACCATGCCTAAGATGGTATTTTAAAGTGGCATTGTATATTAAAAACCGTAACTTCAGGAGCAACCCTGAGGACTCCAGGGGACTGTTTTATATTTAACATGGATATTCCTGAAACATCAGGACAATCTAATTTTTAAGGATCTGCTGGCAGCACAGCAAGTGAGCACCAGTTAAACAATTAATGTATGCACCAAGTAACAACACATTGTAAACAAATGCTCTTTTCCCAAGGAGATCTCTGTTGGGTAGGAGAAAACTGGCTCAGGACACTGTCATTCAGAAAGTAAATTTCCCATTTTAAAAGATGGCCACTGTATTTCCTGATATGCAGTCAAGACCAGTGGTTTTACTCACCCAAGCAGCAATGCGGGCTAAGAGCACTGGGTTCATTTGATTTAGCAAGTTTTGGAACATTCTATATTGTAATTACTAAACCATATTCTTGGCATACTGCTCTTCTGCCACTTACTGCTGGATCCTTGAGTGGTAGCTACCCTTTACGTCCCAAGGAGTGCACTGCATTGTCTCAGTCTCTCTCCAGCATAGTATGTATATATACAAATGGGTGATCCAACTGACAGCCTTGATACACTGCTAGTCTGATGAGACCTGAAGTTCACAGAAACTTTGATTGAAAGTGGGGCTGTGGAGGGGTTAGCTGGCGCCTTCCTCCCTGCTCCAGTCACTTTTCGTAAACAGGAATCACACATCACTTGTCTACTTTAATCAAATCCCACACTGACGTATGTTGGACACAGTTGCAAAAGATGTGCAATACCATGCCAAAAAAGGGGAAGATTTCAGGTCTAATCTGATCACTACAAGCAAGAGAGAAGTTGACAGTTGTTAAAACTAAAATGAAACAACACTGTAGTAAACGGGGATGAGGTTGGCAAAAGGAGGCGTGACATTATCAACACACTGATTATTATGCCAGAATTTCTATGCTGCTGCAATAAACTATATGGATCTAATAAAAGGACATGCTCCTAGCTTTTAAATGGGGATGTATCATTAATGCACAGCCTTCACAAGCTTTAACCAAAGTTACAGGGGACTGAACTAAGGTATTTAAGATTACAGAGGGATTAGCGAAAGATGATCAATCCCTCCTTTTTTACATTGATTACAGGAGAAAGAGAAGTTACTGAAAGTTAGTGACAGGTAATTTAGATTAATTAAATGGAAACTTCTTCAGTCACCTTATGGCATTCTCCATCCTAGGATATCAGAATCAGAAACTAGGAGCTGGATAATTTAATGACCTACAATAACATTTCTAATCATATGCTAGTGTATAAAAGGTAAACAGATCATCCTTCGAGCCATCAGTGGATCACTATCAAGGTCGGGATAGATTTTACCTCTTGCACCATTACACAAATAGCCAGGTGGTGTTATTGGGTCTGGCAAGATTGGTGCATGTAGGGAGAGCAGAACATCAGTACAGAGAAGAGAATTTTACTCACTGGTCTTTGAAAATGACATAGCCTATGTTTTGACAGCATTTTAGTAGAGGATTGTAGAATAGGAAATATTTTTAAAAAACGGAGATCATCTAAACTCAGGTGGAAACCTCTATGTGCATTCAGAAAGAGGGTGTTTCCTGATTTTGAGATGCAAATATGCAGTAAAAATGGCAGCAAAGACACAGCAATGGGATTGCTAAAGAAACTGAACCACCACACAGCTCAGAGAACACAAGAGGGAAAAAAGTGGAAGCACACAAATTAAAGAGGTGTCAAAGTACCTTTTTCCTGAAGAGTTTCTCTTCTTTACCAAGTTTTAGCTGTTTCAGGAAAGAAAAGAAAACAAATGTTTTATTTTTGTGTAGGTATCCAGTAAAAATTCCTACTATACCAATTTTCTTCAATTAATAGCTGGTCTGGTGACTGGTTACAGCAAAGCATAATGAAGTGGACAGGTTAACCCGCTATATAATAATCAAGCTACACTTTGTTTCTTGCCTTTCTGAATATTAATGGTTTGTTGTTTTCAATAGCTGAAGTCCATTAATGAACATTTAACATCCCCCCATAATCTCCTCCCCAGTGCACTGTGGTGTCACTCTATGGAACCATCAAAGTGTCCCACATTCTGGAGGCGTGTAGGAAATGCGTACCAGCATCCTTTAAGTCAAATAGTTTTTAGTGGCCATGAAGGCAAGCAGATAACAGCACTGGCTAGAGACCAAACACATGTGGACTGGCATCGTGCATGCAGCCTCCCTACTCTGCCTCTGCAACTTCAATCCTTACCTGTATCACCGATTTCAAATCTTGGGCTGTTTACCATCGTGAATGTATGTGTCAAAACTAGCACAAAAACTCCCATTAAACACAACTGAAATCACCACACATTTACTCATGACCAAAGTCCCCCTTTTCACTTCCATAGACAAGCTACTCTGCAATCCCTAGATGTTAAATAAAACTAATGCATTTGAATGCTTTCTGGCCCAAATAAACTGTGCAAGTCAGATTTTAAAAAGTTGCCTAAATTGCAGCTGAAAGCAATGGATAGATTCCTCCTTCTCTCTGTAAGTTGGGGAGAATATTATCTCAGAGATGCTGTAAGGATCAGTTACTTAGTGAAGTATTACTACTGCTGTATGTAGTTAGGGCTAGAGAAAGCTATCAAGTGCCACCCAGTGGCTAGAGATGAAAAGGGTTGATTGAAGCTACTTTTGACCACCCCACCTCCCCATTAAAAAAAAAAACCTACAGTGGGGCTCTCCTCGTTCAGAGTTGCTTTTTTTAAGTAAATAGCCAGTTCTTTGCCCAGTGTTTTCTGTCCCTTAATAAAAAGGTAAAGTAAAGTTCAGGTGGATAAACTTTACTGTTCTGCTTGATGGATACTTTTCAAAGAGAAATGTAAAGTGCTATGCAATTTCATTTGTAACTATCACTTGCTGGAATTCAAGAGACTCAAAGGAAAGCTTAAAGCAGAAGTGCAAGAGACATCAGCCCCTGACCTACAACAAGTGCCTGTGTACGCGCATGCATTAAGGAAATGTGGTTCTATCCTCTCATACCCGTTTTCTCATAGCAGGTTCTTGGGGTTTCTCAAATTTTCTTTTCCTTCGCATATGCGCATCATCTGACTTTCTCCTCAAAATAGAATCAACAGGGTTTTTTTTGGAATGTTCATCAGATTTCCGCCTGGGGGTTTCTTCACATTCCCCTTTCCGTTTTGCTACATCTGTTACTTCCTTATTATCTCTGTTCATCTTCTGTTCCTTAAGCAGTGAGCCTGGGAGATTCGACGCATATTTGAATCCTGGTCCACGCTTTTGCTTGTACGCCAAAGAGAGAGAAAACACAAACAAACTTTATATCTTATGTCTTTTTTTGCTGTTTACAATGCATTTCACCTGAAGCTTGTCTGGTTACAAGCAGTTGATTAAACCACTAAATAGCTATTCACAAGCAGTCAGTGTGGTAAAGGATTTTAACCTTCAAGGCGTTTTTCCTATTTGTAACATACCTTCTACCTCCATCTCAGATAATAAAGAATCTAATATTTCACTAGTTGTAAGGGACACTTCAGATTTTGTTGAATACAGCTTTACAAAATCTAAAAACCAAACAGCTTTTAGTTTGGATTTAAATATCCCTCCTCTGCAGGATTTTCTACAATGTTTTGGTTACACTCTGTCAGTGCATAGAATCTGAAAGTGAAAATGACTGCAAACAAGAGGGGTGCTGACTAATTTCTTTTCTTTGTCTCAGCTGAATGACGTATAATAAAGAAAAGCAGAGAAGATTTTTAAATAGTCTCAAGTTATTTGACAATGTGTCTCTTTGTTTACTACGTGGATTTTTAGACTAATAATGCTTTTGTTCCATAGCCAAAACAAGACAGCAAAAATAGATCTGGATGTTAGAGAGAATACACCAGATTTAGTGTCTCATGCTTATGTCATATATTCCAGTGAAACTCACTTTCCCAGTTTTCCCTGCATGGTTGCACTTTGGACATTCCCAGCAGTTCGGCAGTTCATCGTTAACCACACCATCCGATTCCTTCACCTAGAGGGAAAGAGGCATAACCCATTAATAGTGTTAAGTGGCAGTGCAAGTCCACATACAGATTATCGTCATCTAAAAGTGGTCATTACAATAGCAGGGGGACAGACTTTTTGCACTGCTACCCTGTTTCTCAGATCAGCTGTTTCTCTTCCAATGGCTCTAGACTAGATGCACTAAAGGAACAGCACTACCTTGTTTGCACTATGACACGCATACTCCCAACCCTGTAAGATTACTCACCAAACACCACCAACAAAATCAAACACAGACTGGCCAGTTTGGTATTTGAGATGGATTTTAAGTCTTGGCTTTTTGGCTAAGATCAGGAGTAGTCCCTGTTTAATAGTTGACACATTCTCTATTAAGATACCATATCCTGTACTTGTAGTGAAATGGGCTGTTCAATCGCCTAATCTAAGACTGTCCCCTCCTTCATCTCCAATTTACAACACACTCTTTCACTCATTTCCCTCCAGTGGCCTGGCAAGAAGATCAGCCTTTTAATAATAAAATAAATAAATATCACCCAGCTTTTATACAGCGCTTTTCATTAATAGATCCCAAAGCACTTCACAAAGGAAGTCAATATCATTATCCTCATTTTACAGATAAAAAAAGGTCTCCTTCTCATCCCCATTAACACGGAAAAGTGTTTTTAAAAGTGAGGATTTTTGTAATGTACTTAAAAGTGCTCCTTAAAATGTTAATCAAGGACCCATGCAGGAAAATAACCCCATGCCAGGCTGCAGCCCAAATGCCAACAAAATGGAACTTGCCAGGTCAGTTCCAGGGGACAGGCTGAAACTTTCATTCAAAGATACAGTGTGCCCAGCAATTTTATTTTATAGCCCCCTTGCCTTCAAAGTTATCCATTCCTTCAGCATCAATTCAATAGGTAGTATACGGAGAAGAAAAGCTCATTCTATCCAGTTTATTAGTATTGTGTTTGGTTTTTTAAAAGACAGTCTCCAAAACTGCATTAAGGGCTATATGTTATAATTAGCAACATGGTCGTGCCCCAAAGAGCTAATAAGAAATTTTCATAAGCCCTTAATTCATTTTTGAAAGTGGGACTTAGGTGCTTTTGAAAATTGCACCTTTTGTCTTATTTTAGATATGGCACAGTGGAATTAAACAGTAGGATCGGGATGGGGTGAGGAACGACAAGGGTTATGGTAGTAAGAGTACATGGCTACTCATTTATGGCATGTTCATACCTTGAGTCAATTACAAACTTAAAAAAAAAAACGGTTAAAAATTAGATTCACTTCTTGGCATTGTGGAAGAAATGCATCAGAAAATTTATATTTATATGGAAAGCAAAGTAACTTGTAAAGTGGACATTGAATACATAGTGGCAGGTTGGAAGTAAGGCCAATAAGACATCAAGGCTAGAATTACCAGTAGGGTAAAGGACATGAGGGGACTAAGTCTGAAATAGAGGCCAGGGCAGTACTATGAAGGGCCTGGGGGACTCATGCAGGTTTTGTTAAAGAAAAGCTTCAAAAAAAATTTGTTTTAATTCCGTGAAACAGCTCATTTGTATTTGAATATTCTCCTGAAGTAATAAGAGGGCTACAGTCTGCAGCCTCTGAACCAGTGACTGCTCTAGTTTTACTATCCAGTGAGAGTGATAAGTCAGTTGTTTTGTTTTTGAAGAGCCCTTTCAGTTTTAATAATCTCGAGCATTGTAAGCAAACAGGGGAGGAATTTTAAATGTTTATCTTGACTGTATCACTTAAACCTCCCTTCCCCCTTCACAGGTGTGGGACTGTGCCACAATGAGTTATGTAATCCTCCATCTTTAGGAAATAGCCCCTGGGGCAGTCCCAAGTCAGAAACAAGTTACTTCTTGTGCTGAATAGATCAAATTCTACCTAAAGGGGAGACAAAGACCATTAGGCCCCTTTGTGTGAAGTTTAAAGCACTGAACAGATGTGGGTAATTGTAGACAAACTAATGAGACACACAAAAACCTGCCACTGAATCTGTCACAAACCAAGCAGCAGGTGGATGTCTAAACCACAGCTTGTAGCTCTTTCAGCACTGAATATCCAGCAGGAGGACAGCAATTCTAGGGATCTAAATGTGGGACTATACAACTATGCAGTTGTTCTATTAAACACTGTGAATCACAGTGTTTATTTGACAACATTAGGCAAAAGCCATGTGCCATGGCAGTGCTGGAATAAGAAGGGGGTGACACAAGTGAGGAATGAAGTGTACTGGCACAGCAGTGTTTGTGTAGAGAAGGTCAGACTCCACGCATGCTTCTCTACCAATGCACCTAATGCTATTCATCCTCTTGCACTCATTAGCACTAAATTCATTCACAAGGTTTGGAAAATATAAGCCCCTCAAGAATATATTTTTATGACTAAGAGACTAAAAGGAAAGAGGGAACATTCTTTTACTGAGAAAAAACTAAATTTGGTTCCTTAGAAATCTGAAAACACAGTAAGTCACCTACATTAACAGTGAGATTTGGAACATGCTCGATCATTAACTGGATTAACCAGCATGGATTAAACTCTCTTTAGGAAACAGTAAAGGATATGTGATGAAAGGCTGCTATTTAGATTCCTTTTAAAATCCATACATTCACTGTGGGGAGGAACAAAGCAGAAATGGCTGTGTCTGTAGAGGACACACCTGGGTGATATTCGCACAGACAGACTCAGCTTGGATACTTCGCTGCTGAGATCAAATTTGCAGAAAAATGAGAGCATGGCAATAAATCCCTGAGCCCATAACATACTCCTTCATATATGGAATTGAGATCTGACTGTGGCAGTAGGGTGACCAGATGTCCTGATTTTATAGGGACAGTCCCGATTTTTGGGGCTTTTTCTTATATAGGCACCTATTACCTCCCACCCCTGTCCCGATTTTTCACACTTGCTGTCTGGTCGCCCTATGTGGCAGTCCAACTGGCTTGCCAATGCGATCAGTTGTGGGGACTCCCTCCCCTCTCTCAATGGGAGAAGCCTGAGATGGTTATAAAAGATCACACACTGAAAGTAGGTTTTAGATAGTGGAGAAACCCAACCCACCCTTATGCAACCAAGCTAGGAACTTTGAAAAGTGTGGGCTCTATAACCTGGAACAGCCTGAAAGGGAGCAGAAATTACACTAGCACATGCTGAACCGTTCCCACCAGAAGAGCACTGCAGGAGCTGTGGAGTCACCTCTGCACTTAGAGTCCAAGGATGTTCACTCTCTAACTGATCCCAACCCTTCCTGTTCATTTATTCTCCCACAGGGAGTTCATTTTCCAGTCTATGGATTTTATTCAAAGATGGCACCCAAGAGCCAACATACACTGCTGCCTATTTACTGATACATTTTCAAGCATGATTGGGGGATGGGCGGAAAGGACCTTCTCTTATGGTGAAAGCAGGAGGTGCTGGCATGAGAGGTCATCCCCATAATAAAGGGGGCTTCACACTATCTAGGTATTTATATTGTGGGGGCAGCAGCTGCTCCAGTAGGCAGGGGACTCATACAGCACCCAGTTGGTTCCAAATTCTGCACTTAAGCCTACTTTAAGGATTAGAATAGAGTGCAAACAATAAGAGAGACGGAGTTTCTTCAGCCTCATGAAACACTGTGGAGCCCAACAGGAACAAAGAAGGAATGCAGAGAGAGGCTCCCATTGCATCATCTTCCCTCTGCCATTCTCCTTCAATGTTCACACTGCCTTGCCTTTCCAGAGGCTCCCAAATCCCTGGTGGGATGGTGTCCTTTTTGTCACTTCGGCAGCCACCCTGAGCAGATTACCTACAGAAAAGGCATTGGAGGATACCCCACTGCTACAGGTCACCAGGGATTCTGGGAGCTCCAGAGAAGCTGAGGAGATACACAAGGCTCCCAGCCCACACAACACTTTCGGAGGACAAGGTGCAAGGGCTCAGTTTGACACGGTGTTTCTGGCCAGGGATAGGGAAAGGAATCCTAGGGGGTGTTATCTGCCAGCTGTTTTTACTTGCTAAAAAAAAAAACCTACACCTGTTTGCCCAGGGCAGAACTGCAAATATCTCAAACTTTTCCATTTTCATAGACACTGGAAGTGATTTTTCTATGTTACCAAACCAGCACTTGGCTGGTTAGTCTCTGGTCATGAATATGCAGGGCAGTAGTAGTACTTGCTTGAATTTCACAGGTCTGACCCACATCCTGCATAGCTAGCTTGCATGTCAGCAAGCCCCAAATTTGGTTTGGAGAAGTCAATGTTTCAACTGCTGCTAAACAGTGATTCTGTCCCGCAGGCCAAATCCTGAATAAAGTTACTCTGTGATGCTGCAGGGAAGGACAGAGGAAAATGTGGAGTAGTTTGGGCATGTGAGTTTGGTACACTGCAATTGTAAAGCGGTGATGCAAGTCAGGACTGACGTGCCCTGCAGGACAGACTACACAGCTCCTTCCCCTGCTAACCGCTAGCTCCAGCTAGTGCTATCAGTCACTCTTTCGCTAACATTTTCAGAAGTGCTGAGCAACTGCAGCCTGCCCTTCCCCACCCTCCTGACTACAACAGGAGCTGTGGGTGCTGAGCACCTCTGAAAATTGTGCCATTCCTCACCCAGAGATTAGGGAGCTGAGAGCTAGTACAGACAGCATTATCCAGAGCATGTGGTTCCTGCATTTTGGAACAAAAGTATTTTTCCATCACAGTGGGTTCCGCAGGCACCAACTGTGGCCTTCTGGGAGTAGGGGATGTTGGAATACATTTTACTGTGGAAATAGCAAAACCATTTTAACCATAAATTGGGATGACGATGAAGGAGAGAATGGTTGAGTGACTCAAGCTGGACAAATCGCTCCCAGGATCAGTTCTGGAACGGAGTGGCTCAGAAATCTCCCAGTCAAGTGGCTGCAAAAGCCCACAGAGAGGGTGGGATTTTCAGATGTGCTCAGCATTGACCTAACTCTGCTCCCGTTGAAGGGTATGGCCACTGACATCAATGGGAGCAGAGTTAGGCTAATGATGAGTACTTTTGAAGTCTAAAACATACCTGCTGTGTTCCCTAGAGATTACCGGGACACAGGCACTGCTGGGAAAGCTCAATGAGCTCAAAGCCAGCCTCTGCTGAACACAAGGTTTATGTCTGGACAAACACATGAACTGAGCTACCCATTTGTCCTTTCTGAGGAGTAGGGAGGTTGTTTGTAAGTGTGGGAATTGTGGTCTTAACTCATCTAAACCAGACTTTTTAATTTACAAATGTCAGAGCCTAGAAATACTTAGCTGAGATTTCATTGCCAGCTTTAACTCTGCTCTTGAATCACTGAACACTCCAGCCATACACCCTCCACTGTCCTAAAGAAGCCATCTCTCTCCTTCTCACGCACATACACTCTCGCATACTGCAAGACCACTCTCTAGTTAAAGGTGGGAGACCAACCTTCTCTGTACAGGCAAAGGACCACAACATCTCTCATACAGTCTCCTGATTTAATCCAAGTGGAAGATCCTGCCTCTACCGCAGTCATAGTGGGTATGTCTACACTGCAATAAAAGACCTGTGGCACAATCAAGGCTGGCCCAGGTCAGTTGGCTCAGAACCATGGGGCTTAAGCTATAAAATTGCAGTTTAGATATTTCGGCTCAGCCTGGAGCCTGGGCTCTGAGACCCCGCAAGGGGAGAGATCTCAGAGCCTAGGCTCCAGCCCAGGCCCAAACATCTACATTACGTTTTTTAGCCTTGCAGCCTGAGCCCCACGAGCCTGAGTCAGCTGACCCAGGCTCTGAGACTTGGTGCCATGAGGTTTTTTTAATCACAGTGTAGACATGCATAGTTTGCCCAGAGTCCCCATGCTCAACTCTAGGCCAGAGATCAACACTGCCCACATTTACCCGCAACATACAGAACAGACAATTAACCCTTCACCCTACTCACCCTCACAAGTTGGGCCTAAGACCACCCTATACCCAATAAGGGCCAGACGGGAACAGCATGCAGGCTGTACTATTTTACAACCAGACCATGTTATTGTAATCCATCTAAACAGACAAATTCAGTTTCTTTCCTATAGCAGCTGGGATGGTGGGTGGGAGGCACACATTTACTACCATTTGTAAAGGGAGGAAGAGCTAGATGTTGGGTCAACATTGGAATTTTCACGGAGTCTTTCCAGACTGACATTTAGGTTTATTTGAATCACAAAGTTCTAATCTCTTAACTTCCAACTTGTTTTGTTTAAACAACACCAAAGATCTAAGAAACTCTGCAGTTCACAGGTTCATCTCCTCACCTCAGAATTATTTACCTGGAAATATCTAAGGAGATGAACCTTTACTTATGTCAAATACTACGGAGGTTGAAGAAATCTGAAAGCTCTTTCGGAAAGCAGGGGTTTCCCTGCTTATTGGGGTTACTAGCTACTAAATGTCAAAGATCAGAGGGGTAGCCATGTTTGTCTGAATCTGTAAAAAGCAACACAGGGTCCTGTGGCACCTTTAAGACTAACAGAAGTATTGGGAGCATAAGCTTTCGTGGGTAAGATGCCAGCATCTGAAGAAGTGAGGTTCTTACCCACAAAAGCTTATGCTCCCAATACTTCTGTTAGTCTTAAAGGTGCCACAGGACCCTCTGTTGCTTTTTAAATGTCAAAGAGAATCCTCTTGAGTAATGCTCCCTACTCAGAAAGGGTTTTGGGCTCCCGGACTGCCAACCTGCACCTTGCACCAACTCTACAGTCTCATACAGTTTTCACAAAAAAAGCTTTCAAGCAGTTAGTTTTAGTTCATTGTTTTTAACTGAAGGAAGTGACTGACTCTGTTTAATACTACCATCAATGTCATTTCTCTGGACTCACCTTAAGGCATCCTGGGTGTATTATTTCATTACAAATGGAACATTCCATTAGCATGAGATTAAACTTGCCCTCCTCCTCTTCCACAGTGTCCTCCTTCCCAGCTTCTCCGCACACGAGACACACAGCAGTGTGAGGCAGCACTGGCTGTTTGCACAGATGAGAGAGAGAGATTAGGGCATAGGTAACATAATGGAGCAGACGATCAAGACATTTAATTTACATTTGGCTAATCTCAAACAGTTTGTGGTACAGGGTCCTTGATTCTGTAAAGTGCTGAGAGCCACCAACTCTAATGAATGTAACAAGCACAGAACGTCAACAGCAGGATGAGAGTTCTAGAGCAACAAATAGTGAATGATATACATTAGGGATGATCCTAGCCCCCTGTAACACCACTAAAGATAATGGACAACCCGAGGGATGAATCCTGCCCACTAAGTACATCAGCACATTGGCTTTGGTCTTAGAAATTTACAGTAGACAGATACAGACCCCTGCTTGTAAGTTAGTTTACTGTAACAGAGTGACATAGAAGAAAGAAGAGAAATTAGATCATCAAAAACATTCGTCTATTATACCGCATAACCTCCCTTAGCAGATAGGCAGCAACCCCATTTTACAGAAAGAGCAGAGGAAGGTTATGGGAATCAACCAAAGTCACAAAGCAAGTCCACAGCAAAACCAGGAACAGAACCCAAATCTCTCAACTCCTAGATCTAACCAAGATGAATACCTATATCATAGTATCACCTACAGGCCACTATCAGGATTAGGATACCATTTTGTAGGCACTGTATAAGAACACAGGAAGTTAGGAGGCAATGGGGTGAATTTCTAGCAATGGAGAGATTCTTCCTTCCAGGCCAGATCTCAGTTAAGATGCTACAATTCTCCACCTACTTTAGTTATTTCTGTAACCTTGGTGTTAAAGTGCCGGAATGTCAGTCTAATTAAGAAACTGTCTTTGCACTAATGACACAAACAAGTGTAAGCTGACGTCATAAATAAGCATCAAACCTGGGACCTCTTGAGTTAAATGCATGAGCTTCTACTGCATGAGCTAAAAGATACCTCTCTCTTAGCCCAGACTGTAGCAGGCTCAATCTCTACAGCTGGCCCAGCCACCACTAGGAGGAGAACAGAGTGCCACACCGAGCAGGTGGGGGGTTACACAAGTACTTGGTTTGCTGCAAGTACTGTGACAAGGAGGGGAACAAAGACACTCAAAAGAAGCTGGCTATAATTTGAAATGCATTCAGCTAGATTATATATCACTACTTATCTATTAATCCTCAAGAGCGGAGAACTGGCTTTCATGGCAAAGGCTTCATTTTAGAAGTATATACAAATCCTAACAAACCATCATTGGATAACTACATTGATTGAAATCTCAGGCAGGATAAAAAAATGATTGACATTGAAGATACTACTGTTTAGCCTGCCCTATACATTGACACTTGATGTATTAGCTTTGGCAACACTTCTAAACCTTACCATGGTCAATAAATACTTAGCACTTCATCTTTAGAGAACTTTAAAAATATTAACTAATTAATCCTCACACACACACTGAGAGATTATCTCCATTCTGCAGTTGGGGAAAACTGACAGAAGTTAAGTTCAAAGCCAGAGAAGTTCTGCCTCCTAGAAATTGTTTGTATTGCAAGCAGCTGCCATGCTTGTAACACACTAGGTCTATGCACAAAAGTGCTTGCAAAAGCACATAGACATTGTTAGGATTATTGTAATTGTTCTTGCTTGGGGCAAGGGTCTCCAGTTCTATATACTGCCCTGGGTCACTCCGCACCACTGAAATGCCCGTGTTGACAAACTGCTGGTATTGCAGCTGAAACATTACAATTGGTCCTCCCAGCACAATGTCCCTGCATCACCTTGAGGAACCACTCTGTGCAACTTACAACATCTCACATCCTCAACTCCTCTCTTGTTCTGAGCTACTGCAGCTTCCGTCATTTCATTCAAATTAGTTTCCTGTTTTATGAAGAGCAGTACAGGTTCTCTTAAGGCTTGTAATGTTACCAAATACCTGCGTTCTTTATACAGTTGATATTTTTAAACTCAAAACTAAAATCTATTGAACAGCACTAGAACAAACTGTGGATTATTACTTCCACAAAGCCTCACCTTGAAGACCTGTGCTGGAAGCTGTGGGATATGTACCCACAATGCACTCCTCCTGCAACAACCAGAGGACATGCTGACCAAGTTTACATAAGGCAGGATGGCTAGTGGGAATATGAGGCACTATTACAAATTACAACAGTTCAAAATGAACCATTTTAAACTGTAACCAGACAATTCTACAGATGTTCTTTGCAATGGAGAAGCTGAAATAAGAGTCCCATTGGGAATTACTAGCACCAATGGGAATTTCCACAGAGCAGACAAGGTCCCAGAGTCCATGTCCAAACTGGGAGTAGAACCAGGGCATCTTGACTCCCAACCCTGTGGTCAGACTACAGCTCTGCTGAAATTGAACTGATCTAGGAAGAAATATTTTCCAATAGAATATAGGGAAAGATGCCCCGGACAGAATCCAGTTCCATGAAGGTCTGTGATCATTCTGGACACACACCTGAACTGGTCAGAGACAGGGAAGATGGTATTAGCATTGTTTTCCCCCCAAAGCAGGAGTGGCCCTGCTTTGTTTAGGACTACTTAGAAGAAATGGTGGAGGATCCCTCAAGCAACTACTGGCTGACAGAACAGTGCAACTTTGCTAACCTTCTCCTTCACAGGGATCAGGACTATACAACCTGATTGAAACTGGTTGCTGCTAGCAGTTTCCCTGACCAATAGAGACAGTGAAGCCATTTTATAAACCCACTGTAGACCCTCAACAAAGAAGGGGGAGCAAGATTTGACTAGCATGACTAAAAAATTTCTCCATCCAAACTTGTCAATGAATTCATGTCACAGCTCAGTTAATAATAATTTAAAGTACTCAGATGAAAAGCATGCTAGAGCTGCAAAAGTACTTTACAGAGAAGTAGGTATTCCCTCCAATTTACAGATCAGAAAACTGAGGCACTGAGAAGCTAAAAACCTTGGTCCAGGTCATGGAGCAAGTCTGACAAAGCCAGGAACATACCCAGAAGAAGTGAATCCAAGTCCCCTGTTCTAAAGAGGACGTATGGCCTACCACAGGACTGGGAGTCAGAGAGCCAGATTTTCAGAACAGCTCAGCACCCAGCAGCTCCTATGGAGAACAATGGGAGCTGCTGAGTGCTGAACACTCCTGAAAATCAGGCCCAGGAGATCTGGGTTCTATGCAGGGCTCTTCTACTCACTTGCTGTGTGACCCTGGCCAAAGCACAATTTCTCTCTGCCTCAGTTTCCTCAAATTAACAAAAAGTTAATAAATGTACGTAACTCATAGGTGTGCTAGTAGACTAAACTAAGATCAGATGGAAGCCACTATAGAAGTATTACCACCACCAGCAGACAAGGTGCCTTCCCCTTAAAAACAAAAAACAAAAAAGCAAATAGTAATAATAGCTGGCACAGTTTGATCCCAGCACAGACAAGGCCTTTGAATCCATCAGGGGAAACTCTCAAACTTACAAATATAGCTAATCACAACTAAAATGGGAGAGAAAAGCTGGAGTTTCCTCCCTTCAGAGAGTGGATGTATACCCATTGAGGGTAAAAGGAACAGCTGAGGAGGCGGCAGATTCAAATCTGGATCTGGTTGAGTCTGAGATTCAGGTTCCAACAGTGCCAAAATTGTGGGAGATTTTAGCCCAAGATTTCCACCTTCTTTAGTTGAGGTGGTAAGATTGGTTGGATTCTCATGGAATCTGACAAGATCCAAAGCAGAAGACAGCCCCCCGCCCCCATCCTTTGCTTTGAATAGGACTTGAATTTTCCTCCATCCTGAAATTCAAAGAGGTTCATATTCAAGATGTGAGTTTTGGCACATTTCTAATAATCCTCTCTTCGTGCTGCCCTGCCACCCCAAACCTACTGAGAATCCAAAATTACATTTTTAAATAAGGTTGGAGGGAGGGGGGAGGAAAGAGGTCTGAGGAGGAGCTCTCAACTGGGATCCACGGTGTTTAACTTGCTTTTAAAGTAGGAGAGATGAACTTTGAGGAGTTAGTTCTATAGCCCATGTCTAGTCACCAGGGACAGTAGGATCTCTGAAAGATGCGTGGGTATGCTCTGACACAAGCCAACAGAACAAGGCTTGTCAAGGCGTCTCAAGAGAGCCATAGCTAAGAGTGGACACTTACTGCGATGCACTGCCTCATAATGCAGGACTGCTTCATCCTTCCAGGCCCACCAAACTTCTTCATGTCTTTGCAGAAGTGACACTCGCCGCACTCTGTACGTAGACAAGCCTCGCACTTGCGGCATCGCGTCCTTCTCCGGCGCGCTCCTGCAGTCGTCCGATTAGCAGCTAGCTTCACTGCAGAGGCAGTGCCCAGTTTCCCTTTGGGTCGTCCAACTGCCCTGTTCTGGAAATGCCAGAGACACAGGATGAATATCTCATTATATTTATTGCTTAAGCCACAGAATCTCCTTTTACTTGGGGAAAATTGATGCCATCGTCTCCTAGTTATAAAGATGAGATGTGATGTGCATTAGAAATATACATAGATAGAGAATACTTAGAACATATACATTGTCGCTTTTACAGTTACCAACCCTCTCAACATCCTTTGAGGTAGTACCACATTTTATACAAATGGGAAACCGAAGCAGAGAGATTAAGAGCACTATCCTGCAATAAGCTCTGCACAGATGGAGCCCCACTGAAGTCAACACAAGCGTATCCATACGCAGCTCATTGCAGTACTGGGGCCCAAGTGATTTACTCAAAGCTACAGAGGGAATCTATGTCAGAGCTGAGGAGATCCTGGATACCGGGTTTATGTTTAGATAATGCTAGTGGTCCTATTTTCCTCCATCTGAAAAGGAGGTATGCAGGGAGGAGATGAAAGTAAATTTAGAGGTAGACTGTAAACTTTGAAATCATGGTGGGGAAGAGGAATCTGAATTCATGTAAGTGATAAAGTAGGATATGAGCACTAGGCACCATAGAATACTTTCCAGCAATCCCTCTTACATCACCTCCAAATAGGTATTCAGAAATGAAACACTAGAATTCTACATTAAGGGCAATCAACTTTCTCACCAGAGATGCCTGGAAAGGCTGTACAAAGCACACTTTTTCCTATGTTTCCAGAAGCTTGAGAAGAACTGAAAGTTTTTTAACTTAATAGATTCTTTGTGAAATTGCAACATATTCACTTATCCCCTTTTGGGCATCTGGATCAAGAAATCCAGGCATATGCTTCCACATTCAAGGGAAAGTGACAGAGGCCAAATTCTCTTCTTGATTTAAAAGATCTACAGTAGTGACTTCTACAGGATCATAAAGGTTAACTGAGCAAGATATGGCCCTATATCTAACCACTCTCCCCAATTCTTTCTTGCGTTACTGACGGTGTTCTAGATCAAATAAAAAAATGCAGCAAACTCCATTTACTTTATTACTTTTGAGATTTGTCTACCTTCTGAATTTCTCAGCATGTCGAATGAGAGCAGAATAGTTTCACTTTCTCTTCCTGCTGAACTAGCACAAGTCTTTAACTTTGGGTAGCTAGTACTGCAGGGGAAGGTTTGGTTAAAAACACAAACCAAAATCCAAAAAAATCCCACCCCAAAACCAAAAGTTTCCATTAGAGTTAAAAAAAGAAAGGCTCATGGAAACATTTTAATTTGGTTTTGTAAACTTCCCCATTCTTTCTTAAAACACACACACACACCCACACACCCATATTTAATCTCCCTATATAATTGGACCTAATAAGCTCCCTCTGTATCTAATTTCTATGGTTACCTGTGATAGGCTGCCATTATTTTAACAAACATTTTCTCCTTTCGCCTGCGAGAAACCCATGTCCCAGGGGTTCTGCAGGGAGAAGGGAGGGAACTGGGCATCTATTAACTTATTTTTCCATTCAAACAGACACATCATCATAATTGAGAGGAAGAACACACCACATGATGCACACACTTATATTAAGCAAACTTTAGAAGGTTCATGTTTTGCTCCTGAAAAATACATGGCGTGGAACGATCGCAAAGCAGCAAACAATATGTGCAATTTGAATTGAGGAGAGGCATCATTCCACCAGAAAATGCACCAAAAGCAGGTATTTTGAAAACCATTTCAGGCATTCTAAAGACTGAATATTTGCTTTCCAGAAGTGTTTGTATGAACTGCAGAGATAAAGTCAGTTCTGGCAGGGATGGGTTAGTAGTATCCAAATAAGAGATGAGTTCCTTACCCCAACAGAGGCATCCTCTGACTATACCCACCTCAATCTTTCAGTTAGTTTTGACACAATGGTCTAGCACTTCCTTTAAGCAAAAACCCAATCCTCCCACAGGCAATGTGCAAAATCCAGAGCACAAGGCAGGGCCTTAAAGAGTGAGCGTACCATGTAATAAAATACACAAACAACCAACAAGGCTCATATCTGTCATCACTGGCCAAAAAAAGCCTACTTTCTTCCCACCAAGCTTGACCATGACCAGCTAATCTTTTTTTAAAAGGCATTAAACACAATCTACATGAGTGTTAATTAAAACATGTTAAGTTGTATTTTAAAACTGTTTCTAGGCTAGATGTGCTTACTGTAGCAGAGCGAGGAAGAGGACCCACGCTCTCTGACTTCCAGGCCTGTCCCCAACCACTGGCAGCTAGCTGGGGCACAACATCTAACAAATGGGATTTAACAAGGTCAAAAACTGCAGTTAACAAAGCAGGAGGGGTGAGAGGACAGAGACTGAATCTGAAGACAGAATCACACAACCTGGATTTCTTTACAAATCCCTAATGCTCAGAAGAAAAATAAGAGATGCAAACCTTCGATCTTTCATACTCCACTACACAATAGCACTAGCCCGCCCAGTTGACTATTTGCATTTCCTTATTTGTACTGATTGACCAAAACCAATCCATAGTCTAAATAAATGATGCCCTGGTTAGTGAGGCTAGAGCGGCCTTGTATACAGTTTCTTGGGGCTGTAACTTGGTAGTTTAAATACATCACTAGCATAAAATCTAGCCTGTAGGTTGCTTTCCTAGAAAGGGGCTCAGATTCAAACTGAAGGAGGACACTCCTACATGATTTGGGGCTTTTTGTGTTTTATTTAGTGTGTGGCAAAAAGCCAGACATTAAATTCCAGCCTGATGTTAGCCAAGAGACTCAGACCCTCCATCTTCAAATTAGCAGTAGGCACAAACTCAGTCTTGGATTGGCTTTAGGATATAAGGGGTCCCTCACAGCCCCCATCCTTCCCTGACAAGATAGTATTCGCACCCTGTGCCCATTGATTTTGCAGTCCCCATAAGTCAGCTTTGGCTCAGTCCCAGGGCTATGGGAGGAAGGAATCAGAAATCAGACTGAAAAGATCTCTTTCAGCTCATGAAGTCCATCCCAAGGGGGCCAGTCCAAATCTGCCCCAATGACCACCTCAAGCAATTCTGTTACTTCCTCTCTAACTTCCAAGGGTCTTCACAGAATCATAGAATATCAGGGTTGGAAGGGACCTCAGGAGGTCATCTAGTCCAACTCCCTGCTCAAAGCAGGACCAATCCCCTGACAGATTTTTGTCCCAGATCCCTAAATGGCCTCCTGAAGGATTGAACTCACAACCCTGGGTTTAGCAGGCCAATGCTCAAACCACTGAGCTATCCCTCCTTTCAAAGGAAGCTGTGCCCATGCCTCTTCTGCCAAAGTGAGGGGTCACTGACGCAGTGGGCTGTTGTAGGGGAAGGAGCAGAGGATCCTGGAGGAGTGACAATTCCTTCCCCAATCCCTCACAGTTAAACGTTTTGTTAAAGGAATATACCCTGTCCCAGCTTATCCCTAAAGGCCTTGCAGATTTCCACTGAAATCAGCTAAAATTAACATCAATGCTCTACAGGACTTGTGTTGAGGTCCAAAGCCTGTGAACGTGCCATCTCCTCAAGAGAACAGTTTGTCCCTCCCAAACCCTGTGAGGTTGGAGGGTCATGGAGCCCGAGCTCCAGCCCAAGCCTGAACGTCTAGACTGCAATTAAACAGCCCCTTAGCCTGAGCCCCACAGCCCGAGTCAAGTGGCACAGGTATCTGTGGGTATCTAATTGGAGTGTAGACATACCCCGATACCCAAACCACATGTGTGTATCTGAGGCGTATTTGGGCTATAACAATCTAACATGTATCTGTGAATTGCAAAGCCCCTTACAAAAATTTAATTTAGCTTCATCTTCCTATCACTGTGACATAAGTAGTAAATATCCCCATTGTGCAGACAGGAAAACTGGGGCAGCCCTGAAGGTATGTCTACACTGGAAAAAAAAACCCTATGGCAGCAAATCTCAGAGTCTGGGTCTACAGGCATGAATTACAGTGCTAAAAATACCAGTGTAGACATTCCTGCTCAGCTGGAACTCAGGTTTCAGAGTAGCAGCCGTGTTAGTCTGTATCCACAAAAAGAAGAACAGGAGTACTTGTGGCACCTTAGAGACTAACAAATTTATTAGAGCATAAGCTTTCGTGGACTACAGCCCACTTCTTCGGATGCATATATCAGAAGTGGGCTGTAGTCCACGAAAGCTTATGCTCTAATAAAGCTGGAACTCAGGCTCTGAAACCCAGTGGAGGAGATGGGTCTGTATGCTCAGGCTCTGAGGCTCACTGCTGTGGAGTTGGTTTTTTTTCTTCTTTTCTTCCAGTGTAGACATACCCTGAGAGATTAGCAACCTGATTTTTAGAAGTGCTGAACACCCACAAACCTCACTGAAGTCAGTGGGAGCTGCATGTGCTCAGCACCTCTTAAAAATCAGGTCATCTGTGATTTAAACCAAATTGTCCTAGGTATGACATGTGCTTGATCATTTGGTGAGTTGGGAAACCTTTACTCATCAGCCTGGTTACATATACCTTGGTGCAGTTTCAGCAAATCCGTCTTATGAGCACTAAGGAGTGAAAAACACTACTAGTTTGAACAGCAAGTTGTGGTCTTGCCTATGAATGGAGACCCTGAATTTTAACTTTTGGGAGGGTAGTGGTGGTAGTGGGGGATGTTGGAGGAGAACAAAAGGGAGAAAGCTTGTCAAGTTTATTAGACCCAACATTTTCCTACTTCCCCAAAAGTCAAAATGTTTCCCTGATGTTTGCTTTAATGAAAAATTAGGTTAATTAGCAGCCCTGCAACAAACCAGAACATGCTCTAGTGACTGACATGAAGAGAGTGAAGAAAGAAACAGAATTTAGGTTCATACTTCCAAGGCTTTCTAGACATAACTGGAAAAGTCAGCATCTTCCCAAAGCCTGTTCTGAATCATTAATGGACTAAGAGATCATGGCTGGAGACCCACTTTCCTAAGGCAGTGAAGATGCTGAAGAGATTATTCCCATTCTGAGTAGGTTTTAGACCAGGGCTAAATTAAAGCACA